TAACTTGTAAAATATAGGCCTAAGAGGCTCCGTCAGAGGCACTGAGTTTTAAAAAGGCTCTGTGGATCAAAGTGGAAATCATTGTTTCAGTGTATTATATAAATATTATTCAAAAATGTATAGGACCCATTCCTGCCTTCAGGCATAAAGGGTTAGACCTATACTTTACAGACCAACTGGCACTTGGTGGATGATGTGGTCAGCATCACGCCGGCCGCCTTTAAAAGTCCGGTACTGTCAGGACTCGATCCGAAGGCAACCATCTAGCCACAGCGGCTTACTTTAACTTAGTGTATTATACAGTATTTTGTTTTTGTTTCCATTCATAGCGGCCTGTTTGCCTTCTCTACCTAACCTGTCAACAAATGCTCCATTGATCTTGTTATCTTGCCGTGCACAACTTTTTAATTGCTTATCTTTTTTTCTTTCTGTAATCTTCTTTAGTCCCAATTTTTTGCTCTAGAAAATCTGTGAAAATCAAAAACTAAATTAAATTCTATAACCTCTCCAGACCCAAATAAATCAGAAACAAGTGTAGTTTTACCAAGTCTGCAGAATGGAAGAAGATCAGTAACTATAGAAAACATGTAGGAAGACAAATTACAATAAGCAAAACCTCATGTACAGCCAAGAATTCACAGGGGCAACGACTGCTTTGGTCTTGGGATGAGAAAAGGAGAACTGGAAAATATTGCAATGACTGGAAAGATAACTGGCAGAAGAGGAAGACTAAGATAAATGATGGTGGATGGCTTAAGATAGTAGCATGGAGGAATATCATCAGTGGAACTGATCCAGAAAACCAAAGACTGAGATCTTAGGAGATGGATAAATGGCTATGCCAGCTGGCAAGGCACTTGATGATGATGATGATGAACAACCTCAAGTCATCACTTGATGATGATGATAATGATGATGATGATGATGATGATGATGATAATGAACAACCTCAAGCCATTACTTGATGATGATGATGATGAACAACCTCAAGCCATCACTTGATGATGATGATGAACAACCTCAAGCCATCACTTCATGCTGATGATGATGATGAACAACCTCAAGCCATCACTTGATGATGATGATGATGAACAACCTCTAGCCATCACTTGATGATGATGATGAACAACCTCAAGCCATCACTTGATGATGATGATGATAATGAGCGACATCAAGCCATCACTTGATGATGATGAACAATCTCAAGCCATCACTTGATGATGATGATGAACAACCTTAAGCCATCACTTGATGATGATGAACAACCTCTAGCCATCACTTGATGATGATAATGATGATGAACAACCTTAAGCCATCACTTGATGATGATGAACAATCTCAAGCCATCACTTGATGATGATGAGCAATCTCAAGCCATCACTTGATGATGATGATGAACAACCTCAAGCCATCACTTGATGATGATGATGAACAACCTTAAGCCATCACTTGATGATGATGATGATGATGAACAACCTCAAGCCATCACTCGATGATGATGAAAAATCTCAAGCCATCACTTGATGATGATGAACAACCTCAAGCCATCACTTGATGATGATGATAATGAACAACCTTAAGCCATCACTTGATGATGATGATGATGAACAACCTCAAGCCATCAGTTGGTGATGATGAACAACCTCAAGCCATCACTTGATGATGATGATGATGAACAACCTCAAGCCATCACTTGTTGATGATGATGATGATGAACAACCTCAAGCCATCACTTGATGATGATGATGAACAATCTCAAGCCATCACTTGATGATGATAATGATGATGAACAATCTCAAGCCATCACTTGATGAAGATGATGAACAATCTCAAGCCATCACTTGATGAAGATGATGAACAATCTCAAGCCATCACTTAATGAAGATGATGAACAATCTCAAGCCATCACTTGATGAAGATGATGAACAATCTCAAGCCATCACTTGATGAAGATGATGAACAATCTCAAGTCATCACTTGGTGATGATGAACAACCTCAAGCCATCACTTGATGATGATGATCATGATGATGAACAACCTCAAGCCATCACTTGATGATGATGAACAATCTCAAGCCATCACTTGATGATGATAATGATGATGAACAACCTTAAGCCATCACTTGATGATGATAATGATGATGAACAACCTCAAGCCATCACTTGATGATGATGTTGAACAACCTCAAGCCATCACTGGATGATGATAATGATGATGAACAACCTTAAGCCATCACTTGATGATGAACAACCTCAAGCCATCACTTGATGAGGATGTTGAACAACCTCAAGCCATTACTGGATGATGATAATGATGATGAACAACCTTAAGCCATCACTTGATGATGATAATGATGATGAACAACATCAAGCCCTCACTTGATGATGATGAACAAAGTCAAGCCATCACTTGATGATGATGATCAATCTCAAGCCATCACTTGATGATGATGGTGAACAACCTCAAGCCATCAACTGATGATGATAATGATGATGAACAACCTCAAGCCATCACTTGATGATGATGTTGAACAACCTTAAGCCATTACTGGATGATGATAATGATGATGAACAACCTTAAGCCATCACTTGATGATGATAATGATGATGAACAACATCAAGCCATGACTTGATGATGATGAGTCAAGCCATCACTTGAACATCAATCTCAAGCCATCACTTGATGATGATGGTGAACAATCCTCATCAGCCATCAAACAAGATCATGATGATGATGATGAACAATCTCAAGCCATCACTTGATGATGATGATGATGAACAACCTCAAGCCATCACTGATGATGATAATGATGATGAACAACCTCAAGCCATCACTGATGATGATGATGATGAACAACCTTAAGCCATCACTTGATGATGAACAACCTCAAGCCATCACTTGATGATGATGAAACAACCTCAAGCCATCACTTGATGATGATGATGATGAATGATGATGAACAACCTCAAGCCATCACTTGTTGATGATGATGATGATGAACAACCTCAAGCCATCACTTGATGATGATGATGATGAACAATCTCAAGCCATCACTTGATGATGATAATGATGATGAACAATCTCAAGCCATCACTTGATGAAGATGATGAACAATCTCAAGCCATCACTTGATGAAGATGATGAACAATCTCAAGCCATCACTTAATGAAGATGATGAACAATCTCAAGCCATCACTTGATGAAGATGATGATGAACAATCTCAAGCCATCACTTGATGAAGATGATGAACAATCTCAAGTCATGATGATGAACCTCAAGCCATCACTTGATGATGATGATCATGATGATGAACAACCTCAAGCCATCACTTGATGATGATGAAGCCATCAATCTCAAGCCATCACTTGATGATGATAATGATGATGAACAACCTTAAGCCATCACTTGATGATGATAATGATGATGAACAACCTCAAGCCATCACTTGATGATGATGTTGAACAACCTCAAGCCATCACTGGATGATGATAATGATGATGAACAACCTTAAGCCATCACTTGATGATGAACAACCTCAAGCCATCACTTGATGAGGATGTTGAACAACCTCAAGCCATTACTGGATGATGATAATGATGATGAACAACCTTAAGCCATCACTTGATGATGATAATGATGATGAACAACATCAAGCCCTCACTTGATGATGATGAACAAAGTCAAGCCATCACTTGATGATGATGATCAATCTCAAGCCATCACTTGATGATGATGGTGAACAACCTCAAGCCATCAACTGATGATGATAATGATGATGAACAACCTCAAGCCATCACTTGATGATGATGTTGAACAACCTTAAGCCATTACTGGATGATGATAATGATGATGAACAACCTTAAGCCATCACTTGATGATGATAATGATGATGAACAACATCAAGCCATCACTTGATGATGATGAACAAAGTCAAGCCATCACTTGATGATGATGATCAATCTCAAGCCATCACTTGATGATGATGGTGAACAATCTTGAGCCATCACTTGATGAAGATAAAGAACAATCTCAAGCCATCACTTGATGATGATGATGAACAATCTCAAGCCATCAACTGATGATGATAATGATGATGAACAACCTCAAGCCATCAACTGATGATGATAATGATGATGAACAACCTCAAGCCATCACTTGATGATGATGATGATGAACAACCTCAAGCCATCACTTGATGATGATGATGATGATGAACAACCTCAAGCCATCACTTGATGATGATGATATAATGAGCAACATCAAGCCATCACTTGATGATGATAATGATGATGAACAACCTTAAGCCATCACTTGATGATGATGATATAATGAGCAACATCAAGCCATCACTTGATGATGATAATGATGATGAACAACCTTAAGCCATCACTTGATGATGATGAACAATCTCAAGCCATCACTTGATGATGATGAGCAATCTTAAGCCATTACTTGATGATGACGATGATGATGATGAACAACCTCAAGCTATCACTTGATGATGATGTTAAACAACCTTAAACCATCACATTATGATGATGTTGAACAACCTCAAGCCATCACTGGATGATGATAATGATGATGAACAACCTTAAGCCATCACTTGATGATGATGATGATGAACAATCTTAAGCCATCACTTGATGATGATGATGAACAATCTCAAGCCATCACTTGATGATGATGGTGAACAATTTCAAGCCATCACTTGATGATGATGGTGAACAATTTCAAGCCATCACTTGATGAAGATGATGAACAATCTCAAGCCATCACTTGATGAAGATGATGAACAATCTCAAGCCATCACTGGATGATGATGTTGAACAATCTCAAGCCATCACTTGATGATGATGTTGAACAATCTCAAGCCATCACTGGATGATGATGTTGAACAATCTCAAACCATCACTGAAGTACAAAAGACAGAGGAAACAAGCCGTACTCAGAGCTAAAGTGTTTTAATAAAGTATTTGGTGCATATCAGATTGTTCCTTACCTTGTAAAGTGGTAATACTTTTGTGAGACTGCATGAGATGGGGCATGACTTGCTCCAAGGATCCCTGCCACTTGCATGATGCGCCGGGACAAGGACAGGTGTAGGGTCTTATTCAAACAAAAGAAAACATTTCAATGATCACAAACTTTGAATACCTACGCTCCCTGTTAATTAAACAGCAAATGTGACTGTTCAAAAGGAAGTCAAAAGGAGGATGGCCGTAGCAATACAAAGATTAAACAACATTAAAAGTCTATTTTTTACACACCAGCAGGGAACATTTCAACATTTTGAGAGCTTGCATCTCTCCTGTAGTAAGATGCGGATGTGAGGTGTCAACTATCTCCCAGTCATTAGGGAAGAAAATATCACTTTTGAGCTGAAATGCTATTGAAAGATTCTCAGAATGTCATGGACAAAGAAAAAAAAACACACGGACATCCTAAAAGATCTGAACATCATGTAAGATTGGTTCATAAACAGCATCGTGTCTCGGAAACTGAAATATTCTCGGCATATCATGCGCCATGGAAGATTGGATAAATTAGCACAAGTAGCAGAAGGCAGTGTACCAGGAAAGTATGGAAAATAGGGCTGGCTGCAGTCAAGCTAACACCAAGAAAGTAATCCAGTGAGCTGTGACTAATAGGCTTAACGAAATAGGGAAGCAGATCAACAAGCACAACACAAAACAAATGGACATTTCAGCCCGGGCCTTTCTCGACATGAACCAGGAGAGAAGGGCAAGTGTTGATCAGCATGAAGATGGACACAGGATATAAGTTACACCTTGGATGGGAAAGTGACCAAGATGGGAGAGCTAGCGAGAGGCTGAGTTTCTTTCAGGCAGACTGTGCAGAGAACCATGTTCTGTAAAGGACCTGCTACACGATGAAGATAAAATGATCTGTTTGAAAATAAAAGATTTATTATGCATGGTGGTTTCCAAAAAGATATACATTACAGTTGGCTCTCTATATATTTCCAAAGAAAAAAAAATCAAAATCATGAGGTACTGGTCATCATGTTTATCTACCGCCTTCTTTGAATACTAAATGGTCTACCCAGAAGATCGCAGAACACCTGAGGAGAGAAAACCCTAAGATTAATATAATTAGAGAAGAGAGAATTGTATCCAAGGATAAGAAATCAACAGTGGCAGTGGTGACAACAGAAGGTGAAAACGTACCAGACACTGTCAAGCTTGATAAGAAAATACAGAAACCAGAGTTATATATCCCAAGGGTACTCCAATGTGATGCCAAAAAGAGTTTCATACCAAGTCAGTCTGTCGCAGCAAAACAGAGATTTGCAGATATTGTGCTGACTCTCAATTCTTATAGAGAGTGTCCACTAGCAAAGCAAGATAACAACTATCAGAAACCAAATAGCAATTCATGATTCAGTAACTGTTTTGGACAACTTGGGGTGAGGTATTTTGGATGTCCCTACCTGCAACATTGTCAAGAAATTCTTAAAATAGCAATTACTGAGAGGAGAGTATCATGCAAAGAGGCCAGAAGAAGATGCAGAGATTCCGAATACGTCACTCCAGTGGAGAAATCCAGGATGCAGAACCAGATCAGAAAGTAAGAAGAAGAGGTCAAGATACTGAAGGCAAATAAGTTGACTCACGGAGAAAAGCACGCCAGAAGTTAATGACCAAGCAAGACAGATACTTTCAGAGATGACGGAGATGAGAGAGATACTGGACTACAATATAAAGACACTTAATGACATAAAAGCAGAAACAATAGCAGCATTACGGGAAGTGCAGAAAAAGCAGGAAGAAAGCCACGAAGACAGTAGCCCTATACACCCTCAAACAGGCAAAGAAAACAGTGACAAGTGAATAGACGATAAGCCAAAAGAAACATCGCCAAAAGAGTCTACTGGCAAGCAGCAAGAACTTCAAGAAAGATACAGTGCAGAAATGAACAGAATGTTTCTGCCAGGAAGCATTAACTCTTTGAGTCCCAGAGGGTTTAGCATCACAGGCCCAAGGGGTAGTCAAAAGAGACTAAAATCGGCGCATCATGCCTTCATTGGGCTTCTAGGCAGTAACCTATGAACGTATGATGCGTTCCTTGGGACTCAAAGAGTTAAGACAAACGAAAATCGAAGAAAACAAGTTCAGTACGGAAAGAGATTGAGAGAAGAGACGCGAGAGACGAAACAGAAGAAAATATCTACGGAGACAGACCAACAAAATCCCAAGCGTCAAGCAACACAGAAGACACCAGACAGAGATAAGCAAGAGAAACAACAGGAAGAAAGGAAAAACAATATTACACAAAAGTGAGGACTAATCACCATTTTATTCTAAAAATCCAGATAGTATCAAGGGAGAGTAGAAAGGGTGACAGGAACAACAGAAGTCAAAATCAACAACAGAAAGCTCGCAAAGACGACGACAGGATGGAGCCGAAATACAACTTACCTCCAGATGTGTCCTGACATAGTCGGGAATGAAACCAATCGACATAACAAGAAGAAACAGAAGATCCTTGCCTCCTTAGACACCAATACCGACATGTGTAAACAATGCTATAGAAGGAAGAATCAATATCAGTTAAAATGTCCAGTGACAACAAGACATAATGGAACCAAAAGAAATCATATCTGAACCAGTCCTACACAATAAAGATCGCAAATATAGACATCGGCCATGAAAAGCTGAAAAGTCTGAACCTGATCGAATTATTTTTGTTCTACAAGAAGCAAGCAAGTAAGTACTGCATATCATATTTGTTCTATAGATGACAGGATGCTAAATTGTCTATTTTCTTTCCTGTCTCCACCTTTCTCAGCATGCCCTGTGAGTCAGTTACAATTACGCCATGTGCGTACAGCTGATTCTCAAGCCAGCTGAAGTCAGCAGTGACTGCCTACACCTAAATTCTCAAAATAGATGTTATGATATACGAAAGGATTTTCTTTCCTGGCGTCCTCCTGCTCCACTCCTATTCAAAATCTCATAGTCACAAGCTATTCCAGCTTTTCCATTGTTATGACATGCTTCAAAAAATGTGGACTGTTCTCTCTCGATGCAGGCAACCAGATCCCTCTGCAAATTAACTTCTTTCAAGACAACCTCATACACTTTTTAATTGGTCCATGCTCTTCTCATCATTCTTCTCTTGTTAACCAAACTATGGCATCTTCCACATAATCTCTCACTATTCTGCAGACTGTCCATGATTCACTTCCACAAGCCAGGGCTGCTGTAAAGTTTACAAAAACACACTCTCCCTTTTTATCCTGTCAAACTGTCACTACTGTCTGTCTTATTTACCACTTTTAATGGCGGTGTAGACAGGTGGGTCACAAGCAAGGGGATTTACGGCCGCATGGCTAGTGCAATCAGCATGGACTGTGCAGGTAAGGATGTTTATTTCTGAACCCGACAGAAAATTCCATCTCCTTACGGGGGTTGAACTCAGGTCTCCCAGATGATTGCCTGATGCTGTAACTACTCAGACAGCCGCTCCTCTAAAGATGTTAAAATCAGGTTAACATCTAAAAATATTTAGACTACCAAGTAACATCCAATGGAAGGTATGACAGAAAAAGAGAATAAATAAATGTACACATTTTTACAAGAAAAAGCAATAAGAATAACAGAAAAATCATGGCAAGCAATCTGGCCACTCAGTGGCAACTCTTCTGGTAAAGTAAAGCAAAGAATGAATGGACTGCTGTAAACAGGGTTCATAGCCAAATTTACCAATCAATTTCAAGGCTTTTCAAGGTCTTTTTCAAGGTCTCCTTAGTTTTTTTCAAGGTTGTCTCGGTGTAATACTGAAACAAGATTTTTGCCTTGTTCAAGGGTGTACTGAGCACACAAGGTACTTCATTTGTGCCACATGTGTTGGTATACCAGCACAGATATCATCATCATGTAGCATTTCCTTTGTCCTGATAAAAAAACCTCGGTCTCTCACCAGCTCTCCCGCCTCATGTACTTTTTTATACTCAAGGAGTCACTTATATCCTGTGCCCATCTTCGTGTTGGTCGGCCCCTGAGCTTGATATAGTGTTTGAAATTTTTTTTTTAGGGCTTGGTGGTAGAGGGCAGCAAACTGAAGTCCTGTCTGTTCTGGACCTGGTACCTGAGAGGGTTAGGGGGAGAGAGAGAGAGAGTCATGAAGAGAGAGGAAGACACATGCTGAGGTAGGCTGGGAGAGACAGTGTAAAGATGGACAGATGAAGGTAGAGAAAAGAAGGAAAAGAAGTCTGGGGAAGGAGGAAAAAAATGAGAGGGAGGGATGGAGACATGATGAGGAAAAGTGGGGAAGGGACAGCGAAAGACAGAGAGGGAGACAAATACAGAAAGAGGGAATGCAGATACAGAGATGGGCAGATGAAAAGAGAAGGAAAAAGGGAACGAAACAGAGATATGGAAGGAGGAAAATATGACAAAGAGTTGAAAGAAGGGAGACAGAGGGAGAGAGAACGGACAGGGTGAGAAGCAGATGCAAGCAGAGAAAGATGTAGACATAAAGGAGAGAGAGACAAAGGGACAGCACAGAGAGGCAAGCAGACAGGGAGAGAACCAAAGAAAGAGAAAAAAAGGCAGAGCAGGAGATTGGGAGGGAGGTATACAAAGAGGAAGTGATGAAGGGAGGCAAACAGACATAAAGCAAGAGAGAGAGAGAGAGAGAGAGAGGTGGGTAAGGAAGGCAGTGACAAACACAGATTAAGAGAGAGGGGCAGGAAGGGAGACAAGATACATCAAAGAAAAAAAAACAGCCACCTACCCCCCCCCCCCCCCCCCCACACACACACACAATTTCAAGTGTAGTGGACACAACCACTAGGAAAAGATAGTTATGGGGCAAAAAAAAATATGTAGATGAACCAGTAAAAAAAATGGGGGGGGGGGGGGGGGGGGGGGGGGGGGGGGGGGGGGGGGGGAGAGAATGAGAGAGGGGAGCGGGTAAGGAAATCTAGAGAAAATGAAAAGACAGGATGGAGAGGAGACAAAGAAGAGACGGGACAGGAGAAAGGGCAAGGAAAGGAAGAGAGGAAGAATGGAGAGAAGGGAGAATAATAGAAGATCAAAGGAAAGAGAAGGGGTGAGAGAAGAAAGGTAAGACACTGTTGT